CTCGGGGAGACAAGCGCAACTGTATATTCTCGCTCAACAGCGGCCACCCCGCGCAACAGATGACCAAGGGTGAGGGGCGGACGGAGAAGGAACGCATCTAGTTGTTTCTTCGCCTCTTTCATACGGCGTAACTAACTTGCGTCACTTGTGAGCATCGTTTAACCAATCCCCATCCCCACTGGCGTGGCCTTGGTCCCACTGCTGGTTTACCCCTTAGATGGGGATATATGCTATTCCCTTCGGGTTTCGCAAGGTGCATCCCCAACTCGGGGGGTGGCATGGTGGGGCTGAGGTACCGCGCCCAATAGAGATGGAGACCGGTGAAACGGTACAGAACTGGGTCCGCGTCCCCCCCACCCACTCCTGGTGACGCAACGTTCAGTGACAATGAGATCTGAGGAGGACTAGCATCCCGGACAGTTCCCAAGCCCCGCGGGTGCAAAACGTTACGTCACAGAGCACCCCCTCCCCCCCGAGGGCGCCTGTTCCGGCAGGGGCGCCACGAGCGGGAGGAGTAGGAGGATTAGCATGTAAGCATGTCAGAACAGATTTTCATATACATAGATGTCTATCTCTACATGTGCATCTCTCTATCTGAATATGTAGGTGTGTGTGTGTATGTTCACGTGTGTATATATATATACATATAAACTAGAACCATCGCGCGCGCTTCGCGCGAGCTCAGGTTCCAGCAGGCCCCAGGCCTTGACGAATTCACTGCTCCACTGGAGTAGTGGACCACAATTCACGCATGTCAATCCGCATTCCGGAAGCCTTTCGGAAAACAATGATTGCGTAATTCGGGTGCGGAGGCCGGGTGGATCGGGTTCCCAGAAGGCGTTCTTGGAACATGGGTTTGGAGGGGTCTTGGGGAGCCTGTTGGGGCGTGCCGTCGTCGTCGTCGTAATGTCGTCGTCGCTTCTTGGGGCGCGCCGTCGACGTCGTCGTCGTCGTCGTCCTCGTCTTCATCGTTTCGTCGTCTTCGTCATCGTCGTCGCCGTCGTCGGTTCAAGAGGGCACTTGGGGCGAAACGACCTGCGGGGGGCCGCGAGAAAGCGATCAGTCCTGTCCCCAGTCAACTTCCCAGACAGCTCTCTGGTAGCGTGATGGTACTTCGGAACCTCCAGAGACTCTCGGGTCCATGGTGAACCATGCCCCCGAAAGGCTTTCTGGGGATATGATTTGTTGGAGTGTGTTGGGGGGCCTCTTGGGCGCTCCCTGGGAGGCCCTTGGGGGCCTCCGGGAACTCTCGGGCCCATGATGAACCATGTCCCAGGAAGGCTTTCTGGGGACATGATTTCTTAGGGTGTGATGGGGGGCTTCTTGGGCTTTCCCTGGGAGCCCTCTGGAGGTCTCGTGGGGCTTCCTGGGGGCCTCTTGGGCGCCTCACGGGGCTTCGTGGGAGACTCGTGATTGGATCCAGAGGCCTACTGGGGGCCTCTAGGACTGGAGACCTCGAAATATCGGTTGGCGGTCCCCCTCTGGGCCCACTCTTGGGGAGCTCTTGGGGCACACTTGGGTTGTCTGGAGGGCCTCCTGGGCCGTCTTGGGGCCCTCTTCCGGGGCCTCGTGGGCCGGCACGACCTGAAGGGCCTCCGAGGCCGTGAGGGAGCGCTGGGAAACGGGAAAAGCAAGAACGCCCGAAATTCTTCAAAAACCTTTGGAAAATATATGAATTCAGCCTCCCAGGGCCCTCTTGTGGAGCCTCTTGAGTCCGTCCTAGGGCGTGTTGGAGTCCTCGTCGGCCGTCTTGAGGGCACCTTGGGCGTCTTCGGCGTCTCTTGAGAGCGTCTTGGGCCCTCTCGGGATCCCCTTAGCCTGTCGTGGCCTGCTTCGGGGCGGGCCTGGGCCGCTTCGGTACCCCTTTGGGCCCAGTCTTGGGGCGCTCTTGGGGCACACTTGGGTTGTCTGGGGAGCCTCCTGGGCCGTCTTGTCTTGAGGCCCACTTCTGGAGCCTCGTGGGCCGTCACGATCTGAAGGGCCTCCGAGGCCGTGAAGGAGCGCTGGGAGGCGGGAAAAACGGGAACGCCAAAATTCTTCAAAAACAATCGGAAATTAATGAATTCAGCGGGCCCTCTTGGGGAGCCTCTTGAGTCCGTCCTGGAGCGTGTTGGAGTCCCCGTCGGCTGTCTTGCTGGCATCTTGGGTGTCTTCGGAGCCTCTTGGGAGCGTCTTGGGCCCTCTCGGGGTCCCCTTAGCCTGTCGTGGCCTGTTTCGGGACGGGCCCGGGCCGCCTCGGGAGCTCTGGACCCCCCCAACAGACCCTGTGCGGGCGCCCATTGAGGGAACAGGCACCGGCCCGCTCTCCCCCCGGCCCCCGAGGCTTTCAAGGACGATGCGACGACGAAAAACACGAATGCGGTCAACATATACGTTTTACAATGGGGATGGGGCCATTTTTGCATCTCGGGGCCCTCGGGGGGGTCAAATTGCACGGGTTACGAGACGTCTTGGAGGCCTCTTGTTGGCTGCTTAGGGGCCTCTTGGGGGGTTCGGGGGTCCTCTTGGGGCGTGGGGCTCGCGATTCCAATTGGATTGCCCCATCTTGGGCTCCTCTTGGAGCCCTCTGGGAGGCCGTTGGGGCCGTCTTGGGTGCCTCTGGGACTGGCCTAGGACCCGTCTTGGCGCCCTCTGGGGGGCCTCTTGGGGCGTGCAGGGGCGATCTTAGGGGATGTACGCGTTACGAAAGCAAAGGGGCATTTTTTGCATCTCGGGGCCCTCGTGGAGGGCAAATTGCACGGTTTAGAGTTTAGAAGCATCTGCGAAGCCTCTGGAGCCGTTGGAGACGTCCCGTGATCCGTCGAAGCCGTCTTCAGGGTGGTGGTCGGCTGGCTGAGGCCGCCGTGACGCTCATCGGACCGCCCTCCTAGGCGATTTTGGGCACCTCAAGATCCAGCCGGGCCCCCGGGCAACACATTTGTGCTAGAGGTCGTGGCCCCTGGGCCCTGGGCCCGGTGCCCCGTTTCATGTGAAGAAGTCCCGAGGAGGTTCCAGAGGGCCCGGAGATGGTTCCTTCAAGCCGTTAAAGCTTCAATCCAAAAACACAAGGCACTCTCGCATATGGAAGGGGGCTCGCGTTGAACTTGTGGTGCATTCTTGGCGCTTCTGGAGGTTTCTGGAGCCTTCCAAGGCTTCGTCACAGCCCCAAGAAGGCTCAGGAGGGGCCCGAGAGAGGCCCAAGAGGGCTACAAGATGGTCTCAGGAGTGGCCCAAGATAGGCCCGTGATCCTGCTCCCGCATCATCGCAATCACCATCACCATGACACGCAAGAGCACCACCATCATCAACACAAAAACAGTCGCGGTAATCGTTGACGTCGTCACATTTGTCGTCGTGGCAGCATCATCATCCTGCATCGTCGTCGTCCTCACTGTCGTCGTTCCCGTCCGCCTCCTCCTGCTCCTCCTCATCCTCATCCTCATCCTCCTCCTCGTCCCCCTCCTCCTCCTCCCACTCCAGCTCTCTCTCCTCGTGATCTTCCTCATCTTGGAATGTGTGTTCCGGAAGGCTCCCACCGGAACGTGCTGTGCACAAGTGCTGTCCCTGGTCCCGCCACCGTGCCCTGGGTGGTGGGTCAGAGGCCTCATGGGTGTTGGTTTGGATCTCGTGCTTGGCCTGTCGGGGACGTCGTAAAGGCAGTTTCGCAGCTTCTCGGTAGCCGTTTTGGACCGTTGTGTGGCCTCTTGAGGCCTCGTTTGGGCCTTCTGGGTGCCTCTTGGGGGCCTCCTGGGGCCTCTTGGGGGCTCCTTGGGGCCTCCTGGGACACTCTTCAAGCGGGAGGGTCGAATTTTGAAGTCGTGGTCCCTCTCTTGGGCGCATGTTGGGGCTGTTTTGGTGCTCTCTTGGGCTGTCTTGGGCGCCTCTGGGGCCGTCTTGGGGCGCTCTTGGGGGCCTATTGAGCCGTCTTGGAACGTCGGACAGCCGAACAGGCTGGAAGGCCAAAAATCGTTCCCAAACCTTTGTGAAATTGACGATTTCGGCATCTTGAAGCGCTCTGGAGAGGCGTCTTGAAGCGTCGTGGAGTGCCTTGGGAGGCCTCTCGGGCCGTCTTGGGCTTATCTTGGGCGTCCTGGAGCGGTCTTTCGGCGACTCCGGGCCCGCTTTGGCCGTCTTGGGAGCCTCTGGAGGCCCTCCTGCACTATTTTGTGCCTCCCCGGCCGCCCCGTCCTCTCATGGGGGGTCGGGGCACCTGTTTGTGGGCCCCGGGCCTGCCCCCCAGGGATACATATATATATATATATATATATATATATATATATGTATATGTATATTTGTATATATGTATATATGTATATGAATGTATGTATGTACATATATATACACATTTTTATATATAGATATACTAGAACCATCGCGCGCGCTTCGCGCGAGCTCAGGTTCTAGCCCAGGGGCGCGCTAGAAGATCTTGGACAGCGCTATCAAGCACAGGCGCGTGACATAGTCGCGCCTCCTGAGGGCCTCTTGGGAACCTCTTGGGTCTTCGTGGGGGCATCTGAAGGGCTTCTGGGGGGTTCTCCGTGCTCTTCCTCAATTGGCTGTTGGAGACACCTCTTGGGTGCTTCAAGGGGGGGCATCTTGGGGCTTCTTGGGGTCCCTTGGGGGCATCGTCGGGGTTCTCCGGGCAGTTGGAAAGTGATGTTCTGCAGTCTGAAGCAGTCAATTGGCCGTCTTGGCTGCGTCGAGGCCCGGCTTGAGGCCACACTGGGGCAATCCGGCAGCCTCCCGGGGCCTCCTTGAAGCAATTTTGATGCATCGAGAACACTGCTCGGCTACCTTGGGGCCCCGTGTACGTCTCCTGTGAGCCTTTTGGGGGGCTTTGGGGGGCCTCGTCGGACCACTTGTGGACTCTTGGGGCCTCACGTGGGCCTCTTGGGGCGGAAAGCTCTGCTGTTGGGTTCGCGTTCCCCTTCTTGGGACTCTCTTGGGGCCCTCTCGGGCCGTGTTGGGCGCCTCGGGCACCGTCTTGGGGCCCTCGTGGGCCGTCTTGGGGCCCTCTTGG